GACACAAACAGGAGGACTTGCTTCTAAATCGTGCAGTTGATATACTGGAGACCAGAACAAAAGCAATGTATAACATCAAAACCAACCATCTGAACTATTAGCATCGTTGCTTTACTCTTTTTTCGTGGTTGAGTCTCCTTCAAAAAATTTAGTTTGATTTTAGAAAATTTTGCTTCTGCAGTCCGGTCTTGCCACCAACGCGTTCAGTAGATGGAGATGGCAGAGGCGAAGGCTATTTTTGTGTTGTTATTGCTGGTTTAGGGATCGGTTTGTGAAGAAGAGGGAGAAGAGAGGGGGAAAGCGAAATGCAGGAGAGGGGGTAACTCTTTTCTCTGACAAAAATGGAGTGAAGAAAGGAATTATGATCAGTAAGGATATGGTTATCTTACATAACTGTCTCTATTCTGTTGGAATTGAGCTTGGGAGGCAGTGATAAGGACGAGCTGCAACCAATTCATAGTGAGAAGAGAGCTATGAACTGTGATCATGTCTTATTTCAAGTTAGAAGGTAGTTTCAGTATAAGGATTATTTAATTTGACAAGTTGTTTCGTCCATGATTCTTGGTAGTTTCAGTGCCATTCTAGCCATTGTTTAGTCTGTAATTTTTGAGAATTGATTTGCGAGTAATGACTTTCACTTAGCTTCAACTATTATGTGTGTATTTATTGGCATGTGATAGAATTCTCTTTTCCTTTTCTTTGAATTCAGTTTCATACTCTAATTGTATCATTTGTACATAGGCAAATCATGCTCGATATGACAACTCGCCGATATGGCTGGTGCAAGGAACGAAGCCATCATTAGAATTCAGACCGACAACGGGGAGGGATGCCCAGGACTAATTCAATGATGATTGATGATGGTATAATAAAAACTGCAGTCTGCATCAGCACCAATTTCTAGGCCTAAGTAAAGTTATTCAACCAGAACTCTGCTTAGCGCTAAAAATTCCCCTCACCCAACCTTGATCCTTTTTGACCCACTTATGAAGATTCAAGATATATGACTAATCCTCTCCGTTCGTATTTTCTTATTGACTCTTTCTGACCCTTTATGTTGGGGCGGGTCGGGAAGAATCGAATTAGTGGGTCGGTTCTAAGCAAGTGGAATCCCAATTCCTTCTACTCTCACTTGCTTTCTCTCCTATTCCACAAGTGGGTAACATACACTAATCCGGCCAACGGGCCGGGTAATAGGCTAGTCTTAGTACAATGATCACTTTTTGACAACCTCAAATCTTGAAGACTGATATATTAACGACCACTATAATGCCCCCCACCTAATGATAATTTGTTTTGAAACTCAGATCTCATATGGGATTGATCTAGCACCTAGTTTCCACTTAACCTTTGGTTGTTATTTAATGCCATTTTTTTAATAACTTTGATAAGCAATTATATTTTTTTTTTGTACTAATGTACACTTATATATATATTACGAGAAAGAAGAAAGAGAAGTTTGAGAATTAATGATTTATGACTTTGTGAATATATTTATGTTCACATGCATACTTGTACTGCTACACATGAAGAAAGTTTCCAAAGTAAAAAGGCTGAGATTAAATATAGAAACCTCTGCCATGAATATGAAAAGAACAAATAAAATATTCTGTGGCATCACCTGATCGGTCTTACTTTCTGCGGTGATCGGAGACATCATTTCTATTATTTGCTCCATTCTCCACAGCACTCTTGTGAGATTCTTCTCCCATATAATGAAACTTTAATACTTTCTGACATATTGTTTTTCTAAAATATTTGCTACAATTGATAACCATTTATGAATATACGGATGTGACAACTCTTACCATTAAAATGATAAAGAAAATTTACCTGAAATAAAAAAACGAGAAATAAATTTTTTTATTCAATTCACATTACAAGGATAGTCATAAACTCCTATAAATTTGTAAGTGAAAAATTCCGGACTTAAACGCTGAGCCAAAAACAAAAGAAAAAGAATCAGTGAACCGCGACCACCGAATACCGGAGGTCTGCTTGGTGCGAGGCATTCAACATCACTATCATCCTCTAAGGTGATGATGTCGGAGAGAGGAGTGATGAAAACTAATTAAATATGGTAACCTTGGTGCGTAAGAAATTGATAGTCTATCTCTGGTGACCGACAGGATGTTCGTGGAGGAACGCTTTTTGAAGAAATCCAGTTGTTGCTACGGTGTTTTCATTTTGTCAGTATTCGCTTTGTTGATCATTTAGAGAATAGAGCAGCCCATCTTGTGGGCAAAAAAGCTCTTTCATTTCTTTAAAAAAATCATTCATTGTTCACTAATTTAGTAGAGTTCAATTTTGATTCTTAATTAATTGTGTACAATCATGTGACTTTAGCGTCACAAGAATTGTCTTTAGAAAGAAAAAAAAAAATTACACCTTTTGCAATCCTTTCCGGCTTTCTCCTTCGTTACCGTTTATAACCTGAAGGAGCAAAGCAAATCCATAGTTTTGTCAAACCGGATTTTAGTGACACTTTTTATCAAAGGGTTTTTAGTTAGTGTGGTCCAAAAATGGGATATGATCAGATCGTCTCCCCTCCCCTCCCCGCTTAAAAAACCATAATCCCCTGTTAATGATTACTCAAAGCTCGAAGTCCCATCAATAAAGAAGAAGTACCCCCAAAAAAAAAAACCTCTACAGTACAGCTTTCTAATTATCATATGCTGCGAAGGAAAGGGTTTGTCATGTTCTTGACTTGTATCAGCGAACTTTTAACTAATCGTTCTTTTTGGATGATTTATATTTAATTAATCCATTGATTAATATTTCCCCGTCTTTCCCTTGGATCGACCAGCCTAAGTAGTCTCAGTTGCTTTGACCACGGTCAGCTAACGCTGATCTGTGCGATAAGCTTAATTTAGCTGCTTTTTCCGAGGCTAATATGCATGCCTGAAAATTAATAAAAATAGCCAGCGCAAATATATATATGAGTGTTAGATTAGAAGGATGTTGCTCAAAGATTGCGATGTCTGAGATTAGATCTTGGACAGCAACAATAATCTAAACTTTAATTGTCCACTACTGGCTATTTTATATATATCTAATAATAAGGTGACCGTCTTTTTACCTTTTGGCCTGATTATTCTAGCTAGCAGTACACAGTGCTCGGTAAAATTTACAAATACATTCTCCAACTAGTCCAATTGAATTCACAGTTCCTCTTAACTTCTTTCGGTTGGCAAAGAAACCCACTTTCACGTTCGTAGCTTAGGTTTCTTAATCGATGAAAGAATAATATGACTCCTTAAGAAACAAAACTGAAAAAGAAGAGAGATCGATCGATGGTCATGGAGCCAACTAAAGTTGGCTGCATGTCATATATATATATATATACAGTCAGGGGCGGACCCACGGCTGTTTAGGGGTGTCCTAAATTTTGGGAAAACGATTATCCAACCCCCGATAGTAATTTACGTATTGACAAAAAAAATTATAATTGATAGTCGGGGACACCCCTAAATTTAAAAAAGTGATTATCCTACTCTCATCTTTTAGTTTGAGTATGAGAATATAAGTCATAGTTTGGGTAATTCAAACCTAGGACACTTTTATTATTAATAAACAAAATTTTCATTAGGCTACAACTCATATGTTATTCGATTTTAAACACTGTGTAATAGTATAATGTCATTCTCTATCTCTAATTATTTTCAAAATCTAACAATTAAACAAATTTCAAGCTACCCTTAATTTGTATTGATTTATGGTTGTACAACAAGTATTGAAAGAGTCTTTTCAACTTTGGATTACATCACAAACAAGTTTAGAAATTGAATATGTGATCAGTTCGTGAATGATTGTCTAATATGATATACAGAGACAATTTTTTTTGAATAGTGTAGACCCCAAGTGTGGTCTACAATCATTTTTTAATATGAAAACACATTGTGAATTTTTTCAAACTGTATGAGTAAAGTATTTCTTATTTAAATATTATTTATTAATTATTTTAGAATTATTTGTATTTAATTTATTTTTTAAAAGAGGACACCCCTATATAAAATTTCTGGGTCCGCCACTGTACACAGTGATGATGATACTGGAGAAGCTAAGGAGGAGTGAATTCGCTTTCTTTTCTGCTACACAAGTTTTTGTCTTCTTTCATTTTATGACAGTCAAGAGCTACGAACGTACGTACATGATAAAGGTTAACTGCTGCTGCTGGTGGCGTCAATCTGCTCTGCAGGATCCGACTATTGTGTTTGTGAAAGATGATGCTTCAGCACAGTCGTCGCTCCATTTTACCATCTTGCACTGTTGTACAGTGTTGCAGAATGCAAAAGTTACTTTCGTGATGGATGAGGGGAAAAAGGGGACCGGACGGAGAAGAATTTTGCTTTGTTGGAGCACAAAGCTTGCACTAACGGTAGCAATGATTAATGGCCATATGTTAGAATCCATTTGGTTATGAGATTAACGGTAAACGAAGTAACGAACCTGTTGATATATGCTCTGCACGTATTGTAGACAATGAAAATAATTAAGAGTCGTTGAATTCAGGTACTTTGGAGAATTTATTGTTTTTTCCTCAAATTTTTATTCAATATATACATTTGAGGTGGACCTTCAAATTTTATATCACCCACAAATCACTCATTTTAAATCTCAATAAAATATGAGATTCTTCCATTGAGATTGTGCGGTTTAATTTGTTCCACTTTTAGCTCATAAAGTGATTGTTTACTTTCTTTAAAAGTTTTGAATTGCTACAAACAACCAAGACATTCTTACAATCGTTTAATTCTTACAATCTTTGTATTCACAATACATATATTCATCAAACAAACATAGTTGAAGAATCTCAACTTCCAAACAAAGTCCAAGTTGTTGTCATGGCCGGTGTCACCAAATAAATTCCATTTCAGTTCTATATTCATTGACATAGTCACATAGCCAGAAATTCTTGAAGCATAGCACAATAACAGAAAACAAAAATATTTTTCTTACTTGTATTTGTATACAACAATTATCATAAGTTATCTTTACATCTTTTCAGACATATGTAGTTCGCAATTGTTTCAATCCAAATTCGATTGCACAAAAATGGAAAAATAGGTTGTAGTTTTATCAAATTCAACATCTCGGAAAAGAAACATATAATAACAACAACTATATTTGTCATTCTGACAAATTTTCAAGTGGATTCATTAAAAAAATGAATGATTTTGAGCAAGTATTAGCTAAAATTAATAGGAATAAAAAAAATGAATTTTGCTATAGTGACTTGCACGTGCACTTTTCGGTCGAGCTCAGTTAGGTTTAGGTCAACCTAAACTGTTGTTCCAGTTTTGTGAGACTCAACGACGCGATCAACCTTTTACAACAAAACTGGCTGAAGGTCATAAGCCTCAATGTACAATACTTCTACAAGAATGGTACAATACTTCTACAACAACATCACCTTTCAGCATGCTGCCGGTGACTCCATTCATTCTTTTAAAAACTATGGGGGTAGAGATGTGTATCACCGAAAAGGTGTTGGCAGAAGTACTAGAGACTACAAACCTGAGAAAGAGAATTGATGTGTTCAATGCTTGGAATGAAACTCATTTCTCGAGAGCCAAGCAAATACAGACTGTATGTGGTCTTGCTGAAGAGGAAGATGCTGAGGATTGTAGTAGGCCAACTATTCGAGAGTTGACAGTTAAGGTCAGGGTTCTCAACCATATGCTCTCCTACAACATTCTTCCAAAGGGTGGACATCGGGAGGCAGTCACCTACTTTGACATAGAGCTCCTCATCAACCTACTTTCACATGAGAAGGTTAACTTGCCATACTTAATCTTTACACACATGCTTGCTGTTGCAGAAAATTCAAATAGGAATCTTCCATATGGGATGATCCTCACTTTGCTATTTGATCATTTTAATGTGGATTTAAGTGGTGAGGTTGGCTTAAGAGTTTCAAGGCAGGAGTTCTATACAGTTACATACCTGAAGAAGATGGAAATTGAGTTGCATGATGGTGAGTATGTCCGAGCATACAATCCTCATGTAGTCCATGGTGGTGATGTTGATGATGATGTTGATGATAATGAAGAGCTCGAAGATGAACCAATGGTGCAGCCACATAGTTCAACTCCACTAGTCACCCTACAACATATATGGGACAGCATGGATGGCATGTACGACTACATGGGACAGATGTCCATCCAGATGATTGGCATGTACGATTACATGGGGCAGATGACCACCCAGATGAGCACACTACAGCTGACTGTAACAGAGATGCGAGACGAGTTCCACTCTTTTATTTGAAGATCTTTTAGTGGAAGATACATGCATCCCACCACATCCGACTACCATAATGTGACCACCACCAATGAGGTAAATGCGGATGAGTGAGAGTGGGGAGAGATGTACTCCGTGATTTTAGATTGTTTTCTTTTATTGTTTTGTCTTAAAGACCATTTGGTTTGGAACAACTATGATCGTCGATTGATGTTATGTGGGTTTTAATTTTAGGTAAGTGTGAACAATTATGAGTTGTGTTTTATTGTATTTCTTGCAATTTAGTCAAAATCGCGATTCTACCTAGAAACATTTTGGTGAGCTAGAAGCATAAAATCATAAGTTTTAAAGCGTAGATTTTGACTATACTTATAAGGGAAAATTACGATTATATGTAGAAAATCTTTGGTGGTCTAGAATGATAAAAGCGTAAGTTTTTAAGTTTTAAAGCGTGATTTTGACTGCATTAATTTCTTGTTAGTATGTCGAGTTGTTATGTTATAAAGTTATGGTTTCTTGATATCATGATTGAGTATTAATTCTGTTGGTTTCAACGTTTTAATGTACGAGCAAACTAACACACACATCGACATACATAAGCAAAAATTTCGAAGGTCATACGCTAATTTACCTATACAAGGTCGACCATTTATTGTATGCGGTCGATCACGAAACCAACAGTTTTGATCTACATTTCACGTCACAAGGGGAATGGATGAATAGATTGTACTTTAGTCTTTTATCTGGTCGACCTCTTACTGTATATGGTAGACCATTTCAATACTTTGCGGTCCACCATTTTGCTTCTAATTGAATTGAAAGGTCGGCCGAAAATTTATTGGGGTCGACCATTAAGGTATCGACTAACTAAACACGGTCGACCACTATGCTATTGAAGGTCGACCGTGAGGTTTCAGCAAAGCGACCACGATGGTAAATTCGGTCAACCGCATGTAAGTATAGATCAACCGAAAAGTACAAGTTACTATAACTTGCAAGACAACGTAGGCTCACCCTAAAAAAATACCAACCACTTTTCCATATAAATTTTGAAAATTTCCTTTTCAACTGGGGTGCTTGAAGCCCACAATACATAAAGGTGCCTCCACCAAAGTCTACACTTGTACTTCACTATTTCATTTAGTTGTTCAATCAATATTTAACGAATTTTACGGATTACTTTTGCAAAACAAGGTCAAAGAGGAGAAGTCTACCGATTAGAGGATTGTTATCCCTAATTCTACCCTCATGGCTTGAGTGAAATAACCAGTCAGTGACACTACAACAAAAAATGGTTTTCGCAACCAAATTATTTTGTCTCTAAAAGCCCAAAATTGGTTACTAATACATTTTTGTGACCAAATCATCATGAAATGGCATCTGGGTTTGGTTCAATTTTGAAGTTCACACTAAACCCTTCATTCATTCAAAGTAGGGGTGGCCGGGTGGCTATACGGTACGGTCCGGTTAAATTAGACCAAATTGATCTGGTCCCAGTCCGGTCTTTTCGAGAATATAAGGACCAAAGATTGGATTGGATACACTCCGGTCTTGATCCGGTCCGGTCCCAATTTGATTTTGATTTTAGATTGAGTTTGTGGGGATTTGAGTGTTGGGGTCTCTTATCCGGTCTTTATCCGGGTTTTTTTTACCTCAAATCTAAGCCCGAATATGAGATTGGATTGTTTGTTATCCGCTCCCAATCCAGTCCCGGTCCAGGTTATACGGTCCGGTTTCGGGTAAAACCAAACAATCCTGAACCAAATTGCCAGCTCTAGTTCAAAGAGCTCTAAACTCTACTGAATTATAATAGAATAGACCCTAAACTGTAAGTTCGAGGAAATGCCTTGGCTATGACTTCAAACGAGTCATAAGGAGCTACTTCACGGGGAATCGATCGCCGTACCGTACGTATTCTCCGTCATATTGGCCAGCATCAGATCTCAGCGATGCTTCACTAAGATCTCCCACTCTTAAAATAAAATGAAGAATTGCTCTTTCATGTATGTAGGCACTGGATGAGGCCTTGACTTGGGCCGGTTATAAAGGGATTTTTGAGCCTGTTTTACTTAATGGATTCGTCTTCCGAGTCTGTTTTGTTGGGCTTAAGAGCTCAACGCAAAAGGCTTCGAATCATGGGATGAATTAAAGATGACTTCCAAAGGTGGAATCGACTCAAGTTCCTATCTCTCTCTCTCTCTCTCTCTCTCTCTCTCTCTCTCTCTCTCTTGTTATGTTTTCTTCTTCTCTGTGGAGTTGGTGAATATATTCTGAGCCGAAAGGGCACCCGAGCGCCGGTCGCTCGACACGTAGGTGCTAGCTCTCTCGCCGTTGCTCTACCTGGCTTTCTTTCTTTGTAGCCGTAATATTTGACGTCAGTATATATAGTAGTTTCGTAATGCATGCCAGTGTCAACTGGTACAAATGACGTTACCAAACTCAGTGGCGGATTCAGGAATTTTAAATAGGGTGTCCTCTTCAAAAAAAAAAAAAATAATAATAATAATTTAAAATTAAATCAAATAATTATTAAATATCCTAATAGTTCAAACATGTTTCGTATTATGAAAGAATGGTAAAATACATTCGGTGTATACACTGCTCAACAAATCTCTCAACAAATCTCTAGTGACATATCCTAATAGACAAGGGTAACCCGTAATTGGATTTAATCGTTAGGTTTTGAAAATAATTGGGGATAAGAATAGCCTTCTACTATTATATTTTGATCTAAAACATAACTACAAATGAGTTGTAGTCTAATTGAACTATATTTACTAATAGTAGCAATGTTCCCAAGTTCAAATCACATAGACCCTATCACTTAAATATTATTTGTACCCATATGCAGAATATTCTATGAGATTGAATAATCATTTTCCACATTTTAAGGGTGTTCCACTATCACTATTTTTTCTTTTTACCCATACACAAACTACTATCGAAGGTTGGATAATCGTTTTGCCAAATTTTAGAGGTGTCCTGGAACACCCCTAAACCTCCATGTATCCACCCCTGACCAAACCAAACCAAACCAAACCTCCCATTGAGACCCTGTTTACTGTTTATATATAATAATAATTACTGAATAACAAGAGAGACAATCTGAATCCGGGTTTGTTAGATCAGATCAGAGCGCATACGGTCAGACAAAGCTTTGTCCTATTGATTGCCTCGCAGCTCGAGCCCATCATGATCAATTGTTGACTTGTTCCAATTTTTCCAAGGCTACCAACTTCAACCATTAATTATTAGTATATATGATGAGGTTTTGAAATAAGATCTTTTACTATGCTATAAAGTATTAGTGTTTTAATATACAACTTGAAGTTGTACCATAACATTAAATGTATAAGTTCAAGTTGTACCATAAAGGAATTTGTACCCTTATGTTATGATACAACTTTACAAGTTGAAGTTGTATCGTCACATAAAGGTACAAGTTCAAGTTGTACCATAAAGAATATGTACAAAATAGTGTAGGTATAATCTAAAACTATACCATAACATTGAATCTACAATTTCAAGTTGAACCATAAAGATAAAAACTTATAGCACCAATACTATATAGTATTGTAAAATTCCTCTTGAAATAATTAAAGCCTTTACGTATCTGGCCATAGGGGTGTTCAAATGGTTACCATGGTTATAACCAAACCAAATAATGCTAAATTCCATTAACCATGGAATACAATATCATAACCAAACCGTCCAAACTAATACAACAACCAAATTAACCAAACTATAGTTTAATCGGTTTGGTTAATTGGTTAACCAGATTAACCAATATAAAAATCACATTATCATTCACGATGAAAATTTTCCAGTTAATGCAACAATTCACAATTTATATAATGAATAAAACATAATAATCAACACGTAGTTATAGTTGACCCTTAACAAAAATACATGCAATTAAGACAATTATCTTACGATTAGTATAGAAGTATTCACCTAACAAAAATTTATGACAATGGTATGGGTTAATGAATTGTTGTGTTTGTGTAAATTGACTTAGTCTCTTAGCAATTATCATAGGCTGGAAATGACCTTTCTTTCAAATTTTCATCCATCATAATGTATGAAATTTATCTAAATTAGGCGTTCATATGTTGTGGTCTACACTTTACATATACAAATATACACTATATGAGCAATATTGAGCTCTATATTTTATGAGTCTAAAAGGGATGAACGTTAAGTCTTGAGTGGTTATGCAAAGTATTAAATATGTGTATATAATATATGTTAGATATATGACTAATTACTTAACTGGTTAATTTGGTTTGACTGGTTAGGAGTGTCTGAAACCAAACCACCTAAACCAAACAAGCTAAAAACTTTAACCAAACCAAACCAATTATCCAGATTAACCAAACCAAATTATCCAAATAGTATTGATTAAAACGGTTACCACGGTAACCAAACTGTTTGAACACCCCTATCTGACCGGCTGGCTGTTGGCTTCAAGACTACTTGGTCAATTTACTGATTTTGTTTCCTTTTTTATTTTTTGATAGAATTTGTTTCCTTCTTCAATTGCTGATGTAAAGTCTCATGATGATGACTCTGGTCGGGTGTCGCAGAGCTATTAAGAATGTTTTTTACTGATCACCTGCCGTATGAATTGTTTCCCAAGAGAAACGACAACTATTACTTAAAGGGAGAGGGGGGGAAATGTTATATAAAGTTGCATATTGCATGAATTCAAAAGTTATGTTTTATCTCTGATTTTCAATTTACAGTTCGATTCTCTGACTAGACTTCTCTTCCCCTTTGATCCCCTTCAGGTGCATGTAAAAGAAGTATGCCTTAATGGGTGAAAAGATTGGTTCCTTGTTTGTTTGCGCATCGTGTTGTCAAGAATCAGTTGATCTCAACAACTCGAGTTATTGATAGAGGTTCAATCGTATATCATATATCGTTTACTAACACGTATTTCGTCCCAAGTCATATTTGATCAGGGGTTGATTTCTCGTTTCTGTCACATTCTTTTCGTGTTTTGTCATAATTTTTTTGTTTAGTATGCATACACACGTTGCGATCTATATACGAATCAGAAGGCCTTTACTAGTAAAATAATCTTGAAATATTTGTCTTAAGTATGTAATCAGTGTCTAAATTAACACCACTATCCTTACAACATTAAAGAACAAAGATCGATATTATAAGTGGCCTTCAGAAAAGTAGGAGGAAACCAAATAACTATAGTTTAGGGTAAATACCACATTTGGTCACTGAGATTGCTAAATCGTGTCATGTTTAGTCACTAGAAAAATTTAATATCAATTAAAGGTCACTCGAATTACTGAAACAAGTCACATTTAGTCACTCTCCCGTTAGCCTCCG